TGGGTTAGGTAGGAGAGTGCAGATTCACAGCAATAAGTGGTGGAAAAGCAAGAAAGCATTTTTTGGGGGCATGTTGTCGAAGATGTGGGTATTCTACTGCATTTTTCCATATTTCAGTTGTATCTTTCTTATCATCAGACAATGACTTTAAAATGTCATCTACTGAGAGCTCAATCAATTCCATTTGTAGCTCTTTTTTTTTTTTTTGAGACAGAGTCTCACTGTGTTGCCCAGGCTAGAGTGCCATGGCATCATCCTAGCTCACAGCAACCTCAAACTCCTGGGCTTCAGCGATCCTCCTGCCTCAGCCTCCTGAGTAGCTGGGACTACAGGCATGCACCACCATGCCCGGCTAATTTTTTCTATATATTTTTAGTTGTCCAATTAATTTCTTTCTATTTTTAGTAGAGACAGGGTCTCGCTCTTGCTCAGGCTGAACTCCTGAGCTCAAACAATCCGCCCGCCTCGGCCTCCCAGAGAGCTAGGATTACAGGCGTGAGCCACCGCACCCGGCCCATTTGTAGCTCTTTAGGTGCCTTGGTGATATCAGCTAGGTGAGGCTGAAATGCTAATTTGAGTGTGATGTCATGATTTTCAAAGTCAGTGAACCTTTCGTTGTATTCTCCAATTAATAGGTCTATAACAGCTGCATATTCTTCAAACGATTCGCATATACCATCCTGCTCATCAATGACCTTTGCTAACTGGGAAAAATGTTCATCCAAAATTTCCTTTTGAAGAAAAGTGTTTCGAAAAAAGATAGCTTTATTTCAAAATGCTTGGATTTTTTACCACCTATCATATATAGACTTAGTTTTACCTAAGAAATATTCAAGTCGTTTTGATTTGACATGATAGCACACAGAAATGCTACATTCCTATAGAAATCTTCTTTCAATAATTCACATTGCTGATTCTGTTCTTCATAAAATTTAACTATCTGTTCTTGCAGAGATAAAATTTTGGCTAACACCTGTCCCTGCAATAGCCAATGCATTTAGAAAGATATGGCAAATCCACACTGAATACCTCATCATTCAACTTTAGCATGTTACGAAACTGATGATGCTGTGTTGCATTTGCACAAATACAGTTTACAATACTTATAACTTGTTGCAAAGTGTCACTTAAAATAATAACTTCAGCACAGAGATTTTGCTTATGCAAGATACAATGAAAAGAAATAAGACTCTGGATCTGTTAATACTTTTTTCATCTGTGCGATAAACCTTTCATGTTTTCCTGTCATGGAGGGTGCACCATCTGTACATACACTCACTAAATTTAGCAAATTCAGTCCAACCTCATGACATTTATCTTGAAAGTTGTCAAAGATATCTATTCTCTGTGTTCTGTTCATACGAGTACCTAAAGCAGGTAACTCTTCGTAGCAAAGAAAATCTTCTGTTATGACCCAAATGAAGTATAAAACCTGTGCCAAGTCAGTAGTATCAGTTGACTGATCCAAACCTATTGAATAATATATATTTTCCTTTTGAAGTATTGCAGGAAGTTGTTCTGCTAAGTTGAAAGCTAATTCATGCTGCCGATCAGTTATGGTTCTCCTTGAAAGAGGCAGTTGTTTGTGTCTTGAAAGTTTATCAAGATATAAGCATCCTACAACTTTGGCAATGCATTCTTTCACAATTTCTACATCACTGATGGCTTCCCTTTTTCAGAGTATATAAGCTACTTTATAAGCTGCTTCAGTGGCATTATTTCCAGGTCTTATTGCTGCTTGAAAGAATTATCATTGCTTTTGCCTTTCGTCTTTTAATTTCTGCAATACAACCTTTTGCAACCTTTCTCCCTCTAATTTAAAATAGTTGCGTTGCTTATGAGTGTTATAATGCTGATGAGCACTGAATTTCTTTAATGTTGGTACTGCAGTATGACAAAGCAAGCAAACAATCTTATCTTTAGCAGAAACAAGATAATATTGCAATTCCCAATCCTCACTAAAAAATCTGTTTTCTTCCTTCAGTGTTCTCTTGGTCTTCTTGGACATGCTGGGCTGTTTAGCAGACAGAATTAAAAAATACTGTCGAGCTGTGCAACTATTCACAAATTCCACTTCAAACAGAAACACAATGCACCGTTGTCAAAAGCTGATAACAGACTGGTGTACTCGACCCCCATAAACTCTCATCAACCAGCCTTGTGCAGTAGTGGCGCCGGTCAGATGGGGGAAGTTAGAACTAAATCATGAGCATAGCGGCTGTCAATTTAGGCCTCATGGTTTGTGCTGGTCAATCTAGGAGGATTACTTCATTGAAACTTATTTTATTCTTGGGTATTTTAAATATGTTCATTTTAAAAATAAAATAAAAATATAAAAGACAAAAATGTATTAATAAAAATAAAAGGATTTGTTCTGTAAAATTCGGATTCAGTCAAAAGGCCTAGAAGGCCACATGTGGCCTTAAGGCTGCAGGTTCCCCACCCTAGGTTAGCTATTGTTGCAGCTGTTGTGTTGATTCAAACACGGATGTTGGCCCTCTGTGGACATATCCATAGGGATTAAGAGGGACTTGTCACTGGAAATCCACGTCCTCCTTCCTTGTTTTGTCATTTGGACCTTTTATCATACATAGTAGGCAATTCACATTGACAATTCAAAGGGACATTATTTCTAATAACAATAACAAAAATAACCATCGATAACATATATCCGTGTCTATAGTATGCTAGGCTCTATGCTAACTGCTTACATGTTTTACTTAATTTAACCCTCGCAACACGCTATGAGATATGGCTGCTATTACTGTCCCCATTTACAAAAGAGGAAAGAAAAGCTCCAAGGAGTAACGTAGCTTGCCCAGGGTCATACAACTAGAAAGTGGCAGAGCTGGGATTTGAGCTCAAACCATGTGGCTCTGGCCCTCTTAAGCGTGACATTTAGTCTTCAGTGCAAGAAACATTGATTGAGCACCTACGACGTTAGAAGACTCTGTTGGAAGCAGAGGAAAAGGGATATGTCATAGGGTCAATTGTACTCGGTTGAGTAATGTTCCCCCAAATTTTACGTCAAGCCAGAATCTGTGCATGTGACCTTATTTGGAAATAGGGTCTTTGCAGATGAGGTCATACTGACTTAGGGTGGCCTTAGTCCAGTGACTGGTATCTTTACTAGAAGGGGGAAGTTTGGACACATGCACCCAAGGATGCCACATAACTGAAGCAGACAGAGATCCGAGTCGACGAGCCAAGGATACCAGGATTGCCAGCAGGCAGCGGAGGCTAGGACAGAGGGAGAGAACAGATTCTCCCTCAGAGCTCCCAGAAAGAGCCAACCCTGCTGACACCTTCATTTCAGAATCCTGCCCTCCTGAGCTGCAAAAGGACACGTTAATGCTGTTTTAAGCCACTCAGTTTGTACTAATTTGTTCCAGTGGTCCTAGGAAACTCGCACACTAATAAAAAGAAGAAAACAGAAAAAAAACTTGCTCAAGTCACCCCTAGACCCTGTTTGGCAATAAGAGTTCGCATCTGAAAGTCACGGCTCCCCGCCGGCCGTCAGCAGGCAGCGGGAGCCCCGCGATGAATCAACGCGTGGCCTCACAGGAAGTTCGGCTTTCCTGTCAACAGCGCAGAATGGGAAGCCATCGGGCCAGAGGGCCGTCCACCTGGCCCCTGTCACCAGGCTCAGACGGAGAGAATACTTGCACACAGGAAGAAAAAAAGACGAGAGCCCACCAAACTGCGTTTGCATCTGAACCACGAGACGCCCTTTCTGCCCAGGAAGTGTGTGCTGATGGCGACAGCTCGTGAGAAAAATGTGCAGGCCTCACAAATCTCAGCTTCAACAGTGAGCCTGATATTTCCCCACTAACCCACCAGACACTGAAAGCAGAAGTTCTTCAGCATTTGGCAACCCAGGTCCGTGCGAGGATCTGGTAAATGCTATGTATGGATTAACTCTCTCTCCAGAAAAAAATAAAATAAAAATTCCTATATGCAAAATTTGGGGTGCCATTTCAGGCAGTTTGAGCTCCTAAAACCTCACTTACTGGTGAATAAATACTTATGAATTGCCTGCTATGTGCCAGGCACTGTGCTACATGATAGGGATGTAAGTGGGGATGCAAGTGGCTGAAACTCTGCGGAGGAGCCCTGCGCGTTACCCTAACCGGCTAGCTGGAATGGCTCCCTTTGAGCCGGTCAGAGGAGTTTAACCCAGTGCCGGCCAATCAGACCAAATTAGCCCAAGAAGAAAACCCAGAAATCTGGAAGCTCTGACACTTGTTCTCCATCTAAGGGCGGAAAGGAGCTAGACATTTGAACAAAAATCTGCGATGGCTGCTTTATAAACACTTCGACCCGTCAGATACACACCTTCTCCCCTTTTGCAATCCTTTAGAGTTAAGAATGCCTTAAATGTAAGTCACCTCTCTCATAAATAAGTCTGTGTGTCTCGTGGACTCTTAGTTGTTCTTCAAAGGCCATTTTCTCCCTTGAACTCCCAGGCTGGTTCCACCCACTCCCCTCTGAACTCCCAAAACTCCTGATGCAGACTCATGTACTTGATTATAATTCTTACTTTCCTTTTAACTCGTCTCCTCTGCCAGACGATGAGCAACTTGAGGGCGAGGATTTTTATCTTGTTCACCTCTATGTATTCCCAGCACACACAATAAATGTTATCAGATGGATGAATGGATGGATGGACAGATGGATGGATGGACAGATGGATGGATGGATAGATGGATGAATGGATGGACAGATGGATGGATGGATGGATGAATGGAAGATGGATAGATGAAGGGATGGATGGACAGATGGATGGATGGACAGTTGGATGAATGGATGGATGGATGGATGAATGGGCGGATGGAGGTTAGACGAATGGATTTCTTTATGATGCTGTACTGGCTTCAAACCAAATCAATTAATAAATTAATCAAATCAACATAGATCCATCAATTGCTCTTTAAGTGCCCCCAACAAGAACTGGGGTAAGACATCGAAAGAGACACTGGCTTGTCATCCTCAAGACTCACCTCATTCCTTCTGAAGCCATCTTATCAAGGTTAGCAGTGTCCTTTGTTTCTGCCCAGTTTGCTCCCAGGTCACCCCACCCCACATCATCAGCCAAAATGATCACGAAATTCGGTTTCTGGCCTCTTGTTTTCCCACTGATACAAAAATCCACAAAAGGATAAAGAAATCCTGAGAGACTCACTCCCACCAACAAAACCTTTAGAAAAAGCCAGCCCATGGTGGTGAGGGGAAGAGCCGATTGTTGAGACTTTTCCAAAAGCTCCTTTCTGCTCACTTTCAATGCAGGGAGTCCCTGGGGAATAGGGATGGAGTTTGCAAGATGTGCTGGTGGCAGCGGTGGTGGCAGTGACGATTGCTGCAGGAGCAATGGGGGCTACACAAATGAGGCCCCCACCTGGAATCTTAATTTAAGAGAGTCGGGAAACTTGCAACTCCTAATTTGGCTTGATCCTCTGTAGTCAGTTTTCCCACCACGGCTCAATAAGACAACAGGTTATGTTCAATAGTTAGACACCAGTGTCAAAAACTGCCCTTTGGCCACCTAGAAAGTGACCCCTCTTTCTTCAGGAGTGTTAGAACCACAGCATAAGCCTTGCATCTGTTAGGGACTCCATCTGGTGACTACAGGATGAATTCTGACATCTGTAGAACACCTGGATGTTCTAGAAGCCACAGTCAGCCTCAAATATGTTTCTGAGCTCCAGATGGTTGAGGGCTTCATGTTTCTGTAAAGTTTCCTGAAAGAACAAAAATTGACAAGAAAACAGAGTTAAAATTGCCAGTGCAGCTGTGTTTTATTCAGTAGCTTAGGAAATAATCACTTTTCCATGCCAACAGATGTTTTCCTTTTTATTTGAATATTTAACTGGTTCATCAGTTTCTCCACCTGAAAAATAGTGATGATAATAATATTTGCAATGGACCTATAGTCACAGGCTTGGAAGTAACATTAGAGATGATCCTGCTCAACCCGCTCACTGTATAGATGAGGAATCTGAGGCCTAGTATTGCAGGGGGAACAAGGACCAGCCCCAACTCTGCTTACCCACCCCTACCCCCACACTTCTCTGACTCACAAGAAATTCCCAAATTAATTGTGCCTTTATCAAATCCATTGAGAAATCTAGAAGAAAGAGTGAGACCCTTATTATTAAGACACGATTCTCTGTAACAGTCATGCTATAACCTAACATTGCTATATAAAATTCTTGATAGAAATTAATTTGGGGGAAAAAGGAAATGTAAAAAAAATAAGTTAATAATAGAATCTTGGTAGAGGGTATACGGGTGCTCACTGTAGAACTCTTTAAATTTTTTTTTTTGAGACAAAGTCTCACTGTGTTGCCCGGGCTAGAGTGCCGTGGCGTCAGCCTAGCTCACAGCAACCTCAAACTCCTGGGCTCAAGCGATCCCTCTGCCTCAGCCTCCCGAGTAGCTGGGACTACAGGCACGTGCCACCATGCCCGGCTAATTTTTTCTATATATTTTTAGTTGTCCAATTAATTTCTTTCTAATTTTAGTAGAGACGGGGTCTCGCTCTTGCTCAGGCTGGTCTCGAACTCCCGAGCTCAAACAATCCGCCCGCCTCAGCCTCCCAGAGAGCTAGGATTACAGGCGTGAGCCACCGCGCCCGGCCTAAATTTTTTATTTTCTGTAGAGACAAGGTCTCACTATGTTGCACAGGGTGCAACATAGACCACTACGTTGGTCTCAAACACCTGGGCTTAAGTGATCCTTCCCCCTCTGCCTCCTGAGCTGCTGGGATTATAGGCATGAGCCACCATGACTGGCTAGAACTCTTTCAATTTTGCTGTATGTTTGTAATTTTCGTAATAAAATGTTAGAACAAAATTTCTTAATGGAAATGTGTCCCTTTAACATCCTGACCATGTAATTTTTTTTTTTTTTTTTTTTTTTTACTGGAAAGCATGTTTACTGATATGCCCTGGATGAGCATGCAATTTTAAATAAGAAAATCTAAAGGCATGTTCAACCAGTGCTTCTCACACTTGGATGTACGTATGAATTAGCTGGGGGTTTCGTTTCTTAAAATGCAGACTCAGTAGATAAAGCTGGGTGAGGCCCATACCACTAGTCCTTAGATCCCACTTTTAATAGCAAGGTACCGGAAAACAAAAACATCATGAGTCTGGTCCTAGAAGAAAAAGGAAACTGCTTAACCTAACTAGAGATGACTCAGCTTCAGTGGACAAACACAAAATCAACTCATCAGACTGGGTTTTAAAAGACAGGAACTGAAGGTTATACTTTAAGTTTCAGGTTGCAAATGGAGCCGAGAATAAAACCGTATTACTGCTAGTTCCCTTAAAAGCCCTAAATTTGCAAGTTCAATAAGCAGACACAGAGTCGAAATTCTGGACCAAATAAAAACCTCAGTTGCACACCCAACCCATGGAGGGAATTAAAGGAGAACCAATTTGTAACATATAAAGATGCTACTAGGACCAGGGTTACGACAGATGTTGTTTCCAGTTGCGGGTCCCTGCCAAGCCAATGGTCAACTGGAGTGGCTGGGGGTGGTTGGAGGTAGTAAATTCTGGAAGACTTAGATAAAATCAAAAGGACCAGCAGATATGCAAATAATCAAAACAAAAGGAAGTCCAAGTAAACAGTCATGGTTATCTGCAGGCCAATGAATCAATTGTTCAGAAATGCAAATTCTTCCATTTTCCAAAAGGAGAGCTATTATTTCAAACTCAATTAGATTCAACTGGTATTTGTTGATCTTGAGGCCCCCAAAGACTTCTCTCTTTCTAGAAGAAAGAGCCTTTGCACAAGGAGGGTGCTGAACAAACCCTTGTTGACCTGCTGGTTGGTTCCCAGTTCATTCTACTGGCTTCTAACCATGAGCAACAGTCATAGGAAGCTTTTCTTCTCAAAGCTACTTAGCCTGGAACACTAGCGCGAGCTCATTCCTGGTCAATAATCCATTTCGGAATGACCCAACGTACAAGACTTCAGGGGAAAAAAATTCACTTAAGAAAAGAAGCTAAAATTAAGGTGGGAACATAAATAAACAGATTGTGTTTCTTCAGTGTTCCGTAATAAAACATTCCTTTGAGGATTTTCAAAGAGAATCATTAACACTTAAATTTTTCATAGAATGGAAATAAGCTAATTTAGCAAACACACCATTGCATTATTCCTCACACCCACACCTCCAGGGAGACATTTAATCCCTTTCCCACGTTTTTTTTTAACTAAAGAGAAAAGGCAAACCAGACATTCCAAGAATGGACTCTCAGGCGAAGACTTCGACGAAGATCCAAGTTCAAACTCTGAGCTCAGATCCCCTGAAGAAATTGGCCCCACCTGCTGCCCTCACGTGTTATCTGATGTCACTTTCCCAACTTTTGCTTTATGCGTCGTCACTCTCAGAAGAGAGAGGAGACACAGGCAAGGAGCTCCCCTCCCAGCTGGGAAGAAAGGGGGAAGTCTTTGGCAAAAAAAGCATTCACCCCTCCTTCCACCGAGGTGGAAAGTACTTGACCACTTTACTCAACAAATCCCACAACCGAGGCCCATCTGTTCCATCAGGTCCTTGCTGAGCACAAGGATCCGCGTCTCGATGCTCCCCAGGCAGGAGTAGAGTAAACTGTAGTTGCCAATCAGCTTGACTAATGATTCATATCCTTCTCTGCAACCCGCATTTTAAAGCAGGGTGAGTATGCTGAAGTGTGACCTCCCGTCCGTTCCCAGGCTGGCTTGTGAGTAAAGGCACCAGTGAGCCCCCAAACGACCCCCAGGCCAGAAGGGCTGAGCAGCAGAGGGGATGAGGCAACCTGAAGATCCACTGAGCAGGGTCTGAATAAGCCAGAGCTGGAAGTCCTCAGGCTTCCTGAGCCACTCACTCCATCACCTGACCCTGGTTCCCCACGGGCCTCTCTGTGGCCAAGCATCCTCCTAGAGAACCTTGAAAACAGCTGAAATAACAAGGAGGTCGGCAGACCTTTCTGGCAGAGGGCTCTGTTGGTTTTCCGGAGACAAAAGCTTCAAATGAGCTGAGGCCAAAAAAGACAAAAGAGCAGGGGGAGTGGGTCTCTGGTTGCAGAGCACTGTTGTTGTACCCATCAAATCAGAACACGGGGTGTGTGCCGGCGGGAGGCAGGGAGTCACGCAGGGGCTGTGGGCACGAGCTGCCAGTGTGTAGTCTGAAATGGTTCTCCCATGCATTCAGTCATTTGTCCACCAAATGTGTACTGAGCGACAGGTCTCAAGCCAGGCGGTGCATACAGCCATGAATGGAACACACAAAATCCCTGCCCTCACACCACTTACTTTCGGGTGGCGGAGCAGGGTGGTGGGGAGGAGAAATGAAATCAGTAAAATGTAAATATCACGGGGAAAATCAAAGCTGGGTGGGGGGATGGGGACTGTGGGGGGTGGGCAGGTGCAGAGTTAAAGAGGGTGGCGGGGGGCCATCTCATGGAGAAAGTGATGTCTGGGCAAGGACCTATAGGAGGTGAGGGAGGAAGCCATGCAGTCGTCAGGAAGCCTTGCGGAGACATCAGCCAAGGCCAAGGTCTGGCACACGTGAGGAGCATCAAAGAAGCCACTGGAGAAGCAGCAGAGTGAGGAGGGGTGAGGATGAGACAGTCGGAGAGGAAATGGGAAGCTTTTGCTGCGTGCAACGGGAAGCCAGAGGAAGGATTGAGCAACCGCAGCAAGATCTGACTTATGTTGTAAGAGGTTCCAGAATACACAAATGCGAGGTGCGGACCAGCAGATAAGCAAAGAAGCTGGGACGTTAGGAGTCCCGTTGCATCAGTCTGGGAGAGAGACAGGGCTAGGGTGAGAATGAGACCAGCAAAGCGCCCAGGGCACAAAACTTATGGAGGCAGCGCTCTCTCTCGGGTGGTCGCCCCGCACTCTCAGACCCAGGCAGCAAGCACCTCCTTAAAGTTTGCCTCACCCTAGTTCAAATCCAGGTGGAGAATAAAACCCAGTTACCACTGCAGCCAGGACAAATGTAATATTTCCACGTAATAAACATCCTTACAGCCCCTCCCTTTGCCCCTAGACCCCAACATGTCATTCGGGACTGGCTCAACTTGGAAAGATTGCTTCCTTAGAGTATGGGGGCAGAGGGGTGCAAAGGACATCTTTGATCGAATGCCTCCATCCACGCTGGGAGAATAATACCACTTAGAAAATTTAAATGCTTTTTATTTTTTTAAACTTGGAGACCTCAAGCCAAACCCAGTTGCTGGGAATATCACTTCTGTGGACCCAAGGATGCCAGGAAGCCCACCCGCAGGGGGCACATGACATCCTGCCTAGTTTTAGGCTGGAACCACCTGTTGAGACTGTCACAGAAGGAAGCCATGCTGCAGGTGCCAATTCGAGAGAGCCTAGGTGGCGTCATGCCATGCATCTAAAAACCCAGTAGGCCTGCGGAAATTGCATCTGGGTCCTGGCACACAGATCAGAAAAACAGAGAGAAGGGATGGACCTCTGAATAGCATTGCTCCTCTAAACGCTGGCCTCCACTCGAGAGGACAAACGCTGAGCGTGCCGAGCGATGCAGTCCAGACGAAAGGGTTCAAGGCCAATTACCTGAAATCCACTTTCTGAAAGCCTGGTGCCAAATTTTAAGGACTTGTTACAAAGCTGTATTTACTTATCACTTGTTAAACATTTTATTATGGGAGTTGTCAAACATACAGAAGTTGAGAAACTCACATGTACCTACCTAACCTCTAGGTTCAACAATTAA